TACTACTTTGTGATTGAGGCTTAATTGATTGATCAATTGACTTGCATGTGATATTGAGTTAATATTTTCAATCGTATTCCTACCTGTTTTGCCTGTCAACTTACATTTGTATTTTCAATATTCAGAGGAGATACATTTTCACCAATGATGTTGCATTTCTTGACAATAAATACTTTACTAAACCTTTTTTCCCGAACTAATTACATCCTTTCTTTATGCAGTTCTACACGTTCCTTGAAACCACTGTTGTGACTCTAGCATTACTGCCACAGTTTATTGCATTCTTCAGTGATGGAGAGATACCCGGGACTCCAAGCACTCTCGCTACCACTTTCCTTGCTTTTGGTAAGGTGTAGAAACCCTGCTTCCCAAACTTCCCCTCCTGTGGTTTCTTTTCTAGGTGTGTTATTTCCTATTAATTTCCACGATTCTTGTGCATTGCAGTTTTCAACCTTGCTTTTGCTTTGAGTGTATTGGGATTTCTGATCATGCACATATCCTTGGTAGCTGGTAATACCACAACCATTGAGGTATTACACCTTCCTTACTTTGGTTGAACGTTTAACTGGCGAACTGCTCTCTGATCTTAAGGGGAAAACTATTGCTATAATTTATTGTTTCTCTGTGTCTTGGTTTAGGAAGGTGCTCTTGCTAGATCAATTATCTAAGCATGTTTATGAACTTTTATCATTTTCAACAAATTATCTAAGCGTGTGTATTTTGGTTCGTTTTGATTGGACCACCTTGTTTCGTTCGTGCAGAATCATGAAAGTCGCACTCTTCGTATTTCCTCCACCCATGAAAAGAAAGAAACAAACAAAGATGAAGTAGAGATATTTCTCATTCATTTTGCTTTTCCCCACATGTGGTTTCTTGTCAAAACTCAAATTTACCAAAAACCTAGATTTTACCTGGGGGGTCAAGTGGTGGTCCCACAGGAGAAAATGACCCTCTAACACTTCCTCAGCCAGACTTCGCAAGAATAGCAGAGCAAGATACACTGTTATCTTTTAATATTCTCATGTTTTCTTATTGATCACTATGGTCCCCTATTACTAGAGGTTGCCTCCTTTCATAGAATCCTTCTGCTGCCGATGGCTTCTAAAAATCTGACGTTGGCCCTTCAAACACCATATAAAAATTCTGGAAGATATCTTTACAGTAACTACTGGGCTAAACTGCAGGGTTTACCCAAAGAGACCATGGCTTATTTACATCTTTTACTGATCAGCTTCTTTCAACTCAAACTCTTTTATTTGAATTCTAGGTCTTAAGAACCAACTGCTCCTTTGAGGCCACTGCTTGTGCTTCTCTTGGGATCCAATAAATTACTATGAATTTTTTTTCGAGAAATAAGTCACTTTGAGGAATTTGAATTTGTAGTTTCCACAGTTCGTTTGCCCACTTTACCAATGGGATTTTAGTATTCTTTGCCACACTAATACACCTTCTTGCTTCAGGCATATGAGAAGAAGACCACTCCAAAATGGCGCTATGATCTTGGTCGGAAGAGGAATTTTGAACAGGTTAGTTAACTTTGGAAGAGATTGAGATTGTCAATTCTTTGTTTTCAATGGTGGTTGCTCTCAGTTGCAATGGGAAAATTGAAACATCTCATGTAGCAATATGAACTAAATTATAGTCAAAACTCATGTAAAAAGGTACGAGATCAAGGGGGGTAGTTTCAACCTGTAGAAGGAATCTGTTGTGTCTGGAGCTAACCATTTTTCTCCCGTTTCTTGGAGTCTGTTTGAAACTGGGTCAAACACTTTCAATTGAATATTGGTATTTTATGTATACGTATTACTGAAAAGAGGGAACAGAGGATTACTTCTTTATATAGGACTAGGAAGCTGTTAGCGCCAACTTAGGACGTGGATAGACCCACATGCATATTACCTGGGTTTTAATCAAATTACGAAAACCCCCATATAGAATTGATGTATGCATTTGCTTTTAAGATAGGAAAGCTTGGAGTGAATAAGAACCCTGGTTCCTAGTAAATTTAACTCTGTAATTAAGGAAGCCAGAGCAAGAAGTTTTCAGGAATTTGTACTCTGTGATGACCCCTTGTTTTCTTAGTGGGACTTAATGAATGCATTAGGATGATTCAAATGCATGTCAAGGGTATGATATTTTTCTTGAAAAGAAAGGGTTGGACGCAGCAAAAACAAGTACTGTTAGGAAGGACCAAATCTCAAGCTTTTCCAACATATGGTGTGAGCCTGTGTGTTTCTGACTGCTCGAGTCCATGTATGGTAGTTTGATGTCTTCTTTGGCTAGAGTCCCCTTATTGAGTTTGTGGTGTTACCTTCATCTGTGTTCTATGTTATATCCATCTCATTTCACCCTAGTAATCTGTAATTTTATGCATCAGGTTTTTGGCCTGGACAAACGGTATTGGTTCATCCCAGCTTACTCAGAAGAAGATTTAAGAAGGATACCCGCCCTTCATGGTCTTGAATACCCGTCAAAGCCGGAACTTGAGTCCCAAGTATTCTAGGAATCACAAGTACATTACCATGTTGAGTTTGTTTTTTTAAACTTTTGTAACGATTATAGAGTAGTACCTAATTGATGCACATTCAACTGATGAAATTTGGTGTAACTATTTGAAATGTGGCCTGTGCATCTACTGGTGCTGTGCAAAGATGTAGGAGAGGCCTGAGCAGCCAAAGGATGTAATGATATGTCCATTTCGTTTGAGTATCCGTTAGGGAAATGTAAGATAGAAGTTCTGCTTATAGACCGGTGTTTTTGTAAGATCAACTGCTTGTGGATTGATCTTTGATGACTCTTCCACAGTGAAGTGTTAATGTAATTCGATTGTTCATCTCTTGGAAGTGTGTAAAGTGATATCGTTTGAATCGAAAATAATGAGTTTAAGTTGGACATACCGATGATATTCCACTAATAAAATTATTTAATTAGAAAGAATTGGATATTGTTGTTATTGTGCTTTCTTGACAATATACTGTTTTCAAATTAATCAAAGGTTAGGGATATATATAATACAGACGGTAGCTAAGGCATTCAGAGTCACATTAATTAGTCTGACGATCGATCTGTGTCGTGTAGCAACGGCCCCAAAACTTTGAGGCCCAAGATATTTTAATAGAGGATTTTTTTATTTTATTTTCGCTTAAACATATTGGAAGTTTGTAGGAAATATGAATCTATATAAAAAAGAAAGAAAAGAATACTGCAACTGATGGTGACTGAAAACGACTCCGAAGAAAAAGAAGACACGAGAATTTTTAAAAATAATATCGCCTTAACCTTGATTATTTCTTAAAATGTAATAATCAAATTGATAATGATAGTTAAGCTTACTTTTAAAATTAAAAATTCTAAGAGAAATAATATAAGTTGAACATAATACTTTAAATGATATTTATATTCAATCAGACAAAAAAAGCTTACGTATATATTTTTTCCAAAATGCTTATATCACTAATATTAACAATTTTTGAAAATTTTACCTTAGTTGAGAGAAATTTTTTAAAATTAAATTAATAAAAATTTACCTAAGATCAACAATGTATCCCACCAAAAGATTAAATGAGTCGACTTTTTTTTTTAATTATTATAAAGAATTATTGAAAGAAAAAGCACGAAACTCTAACATCAAATGTCGGTCGACAATTTTATCCTCATAAGCGATTCCATGTTGGATAAAATCACAACTATAATTAATCATTATAAAATTTAATATATTTCGTATTTATTATTTGGACTTTTACTTAATAAAAAATTATCTTCTGGAAAAATAACATTAGATGCGGTAATTTTCCTTTCAAAAGTTTTTATTCAATTTCTGAAGTTGCAATTAATTTTTAATTCTCCGGCGCCATAAGAAACTTGGAGTGTTGAAAAAGTTACGATTAATTTTTAAGAATTTCATTATCTCCTTTTACTCATTATTTGGATCTTTTAATTAATAAAATTTCAATATTTTCTTTTATGGTGATATGAAAAGTGCATGTATCTTCAAACGGTGGAAAAGGCGGTACATTTAATAAAAAGTTTTTATCTTCTTTTCCGAAATCAATCACTTTGTTTCCACTATTTTTCCTTCTGAATTTAAAGTTGCAATCTTTTTAGTGAATTGCTATTTGGGTTTTCTTCGCATACCTCTGTTCTTCCTCCCTTTTTCCCCTTTTGGTTCCTCCTTATGTTTTTGCAGGTATTCACTACTAGATCAGAGCGTGCGGCGGACGTCAAAATCGGTTGGAGGCAGCGGGAAATTGAATAAGGTGACTTCGACAGCGCGACCTTGACATTTACGACGATTCACCCAGGTTTCGCACTAATCAGGAGTTGGTACCTCATGTTCTTCGTTTAATATCTCTGTCTCCTTGTTAGTATCCAATTAGTTTGCATTAGTTTAAGTCTAATTCTTGATTGCCTATAATTATTTAGTGCATCTGCCTGGATATTTTTCTTGCTAGTAACTATTTAGGGATTTCTAGACTGTAATTTAATTTCTTATTAGTTGTTCTGTTGGCCTTTTTTTACACATCTATTGTTATCACTAGTTTAATTCTTGCTTGAATGTTTGTCTTATCTGTACGTATTTCTAGTGGTTAGAGTTGTAAGTGTTAGCCCTGCCTTCTTTAGTTTAATCCTTTGTCTATTTTAGCGAAAGTTCTAGCGTAATTTTTCGTAGATTATAGTGGCTGGGTTGAGTGATGGTGGAATAAGGTCATGTCCTCGGATGTGGGAGAGGTGGCAAGGGAGTCTCTAGGTTGAGAGTGGGGTCCTGGAACATAGGAACTTTGACGGAAAAGTATATAGAGTTAGCGAAGATCCTCCAAAAGAGGAAGATCAACATAGCTTGTGTTCAGGAGACTAGATGGGTAGGTTCGAAGGCTCGAGATGCTGATGGGTTTAAATTGTGGGTCTCAAGACGCGAGAGGGGTAAGAATGTGGTAGGTATCTTGGTTGACAGGGATCTTAGGGAACTAGTGGTAGAAGTTAGGAGGGTGAACGACATGCTTATGGCGATTAAGCTGGTTGTGGCAGGGTCTACTTTAAATGTGATTAGTGCTTGCGCGCTTCAAGTGGGTTTGGACGAGGAGATTAAGAGGCGCTTCTGGGAAGAATTTGATGGGTTGGTACGTGGCATTCCGCTCACCGAGAAGTTATTCATAGGAGGTGACTTCAATGCTCACATTAGGGCGACATTTGGGAGATATGACAGTGTGCATGGCGGCTTTGGCTTTGGAGTTAGGAACGGAGGAGATACTTTGTTGTTGGACTGTGCTATAGCCTTTGATTTTGTGATTGCCAACTCGTGTTTCCCGAAAAGGGAGAAACAATTGGTTACATTTCAGAGTTCGTTGGCCATGACTCAAATTGATTATTTATTCCTCCGGAAACGCGATAGGAGTCTGTGCATGGATTGCAAGGTTATATCAAGCCAGAATCTCACGACCCAGCATAGATTATTGGTGATGTATTTAGAGATCGTGAGGAAGAGGAGAAAGATGTTCGTGTATGGTCAACCCAGGATGAGGTGGGGTGCTATGACTAGTGACAAAGCGCAGGAGTTGGGGGGAGTTGTTAGCTATGGGAGCTTAGAAGAGCAGTGGAGACGCAAGTTGTATGTGGACCACGACAACGGAGTGTATTAGAATTTAGAGTAGCTGCGAGAGAAGTGTTAGGGGTCTCGAAGGATTTCTTTGACGGTCACAAAGGTGATTGGTGGTGGAGCGAGGAGGTACAAGAGAAAGTGGAAGCCAAGCAAGCGGCGTACTTGACGCTTATAGAGAGCATGGACAAGGAGGCGAAGAGGATGAACAAGGAGGGGTATAGGAGGGCTAAGAAGGAGGCGAAGTTAGCGGTTACTATAGCTAACACTGCGGCATTAAGGCGTCTGTATGAAGATCTTGGGGCTAAAGGCGGGGACAAGAAGATATACATGCTAGCCAAGGTGAGAGAGAGGAAGGCCCGTGATCTGGATCAAGTTAAGTGTATCAAATATGAGGAAGGTAGAGTTTTGATGGAAGAGGCTCAAATTAGATGAAGATGGCAGACATATTTTCATAAACTCGTGAACGAAGAGGGTGATTGGGGCATTATGTTGGGCAACTTGGAGCACTCC